GCCTCCACCAAGCCCTCCATACAGCTGCGGCCCAGAGTATCCATACATATTGAACCACTCGTTGTCCTTATGTACGTAAGCGCAGACACAGGCAAACACTGCAGCTCCAAGCAGCAGCTGCACACCGCCCAGGATCCTTAGCAAGCCAGCCCATGACTTCATGTAGGAGTAGCGCGCATGATATTCTTCCACCCGCTCCTGGTACGTCTGAACTGAGACATTGGTGGGCACTGCAGATGCAGAGTCAAATGCTTCGGCACCGAGCAGCAGTCCATCTCGCTCCTTTTGAGATGTGTAGCTGCCTCCAGAGCCACCATAGCGGTCTCGATAGGAGCCTGGAAGGGAGGGAGATGGAGGGGCAGAGTGAGGCGGTGAGCAGGGGACTCCTGATGTGGTGTGGCACTTAGCACTCTTTTTGGATGAAGGAGCAGGGGAATCAGGGCCAGACCCACCCTTGCTACCACGGTTACTGCTGTTGCCACGGAAAAAGTTCTTGACAGAGTCAGGGATGAAGCGGCGAACTGGCTTAATGTCCATAGCGTCACGGTCTTCGTCCATTGGGTCGTCATTGCTAGGGGGATAGAAAGCTTCAGGTCCAACAGCTGGCTGTTCAGGTAGAGGGGGAGGGGGCAGGGAGTCTAAGCTGACAGCTGGCACTGTCCCATGCAGGAGCTGTGGAGGTGGAGGTATTGCAAGGTCCCCATACAGGGAATCCGCTGGGACCTGGTCATAGAGTGGCATCTCCCTCACTCGGTCAAATCTGGAGACTCCTGAGAACATCGCAGCTTTGACTTTCTGCCAAGAGAAACAGAGAGGATTACAATGGCATAGTACCAAGATCTGAACTTACAGCACCTCTAAAATAAAAACACAGGCCTTAGTTTCATTCCTCATCTTCTCGCAGCTGCTTCCTTTAGGGGGTACCAAAGGAGATCATCTGCCTCCATCTCACCCTGTCCCAGCATCCTCATCTGTCGCTACATCCATGAACCTCCTCTGAGGTCTTCCTCTTTTTCTCCTGCCTGGCAGCTCCATCTTCATTATTTCATTATCCTTTGGATAAACTGGACACTCTCCCTCCACTGCATATGTCCAAACCATCTCATCCCAGACTGAGCTGTCCCTCCAATGTACCTATTGCTAATCCTGGATTGCTCATCTGAGCATTTTCAGTTTGGCCTTCTGTCTTATTGTCAGTGCCACCGTCTCCAAAGCATACATCATGGCAGGTCTCACTACCTACTTATAAACCTTCCTTTTCATTATTGTACACTGCACCCTGCCTGCACTCTCTTCTTCACTTCTCTTGGGCACTGCCATTGCAGGTATTTAAACTCATCCACCTTGAATACCTCTGCTCCTTGCAGGTTCACAGATACAGTTTCACTGCTTTCCATAAATCATGACAGCACTGTACTTTTGAATTTTTGCCAAGGTCCAAGAAAAAAATATCAGCTACAGCGAGAACTTTAATAAATGATCAGATGACAAAAATTGGATGAAACAAATTCAGAATGTAATGTAATTCCATTAATTGAGTCATAAATGCAAAACGTATGCTGTAAAGCCAACTCTTCGTCTGCTGGTGGGTGACCACGAGTCTTTACTCAATTTGAAGAACAGTAAACTGTTTGGATTTAAATGTCTACGAATTCCAAAATTATCCCTCTAAGATAATAAAAGTACTGTGATTATCCAGTCTGCACTGCTGTGTCAGTGCTCCACACAGGAGCTCCAATAAATACTTGGTATACCGAATACCCACCAACTCTGCTGTGGAGGAATTTTGGCTTGTTTTTCCTTTTCAGAACTGCTTTATGCTGGAAACACTGACCATTCACACCTCAGCAGGTTTGGGTCCAGACTGTGCTTAGGCTATTTTAAACTTAGTTTTGGAATTTTGTGCTTGGTTTAGATGAAAGAGGAACCATGTCTTCTTAAAAGATCTCTGGACTAACCAGCACATACAACATTCTCTCAACACCTTTGAGGCGATTTTGAAGAATGGGAAAGTATCATCCACATAAATATTTCCTAGCTTTCTTGTTTTCTTATATGTGAAGTACAAGAAAATGTCCTTCATCAGACCAAGTCTATTTCTCTGTCACTGGAGTCTTTAATTCAGGTCCCCACTGTAGGCTTGTCTGCCACTAAGTGTGGTGCAGCTGACTGCAATCCACTGTGTCTCACATCTCATCAGTCAGGTCAAGGTTTCAGCGCTTGTCCTTCATTTGGCTGCAGAGCAGCACTCTTGCCATAATTAAAATGGTGAATGCCTCACACCAGCAGACTTTTCAGTCAAGGCTGTCTACATGAGGCATCTTCCATTTATTAAGTTAATATAATTGTTATTTGTAAAAACTGGGAAAGCTTAAGGGAACTGTAGCAAAACAGCTAATTCCATGAGTAAAATGACGAGAAATGAGCACAAGTTCAGAGATTTTTTTGTTTTGTTGTTTTTGTTTAAACAGAGAACATTCACAATAATTTCATTTTTACGTTATTTGTGAATATTTATAGAATATTCTCAGTATGACATTGCACAATAGGACGTTTTTTCTCTTGCTTCATGGCAGCACTCCTCAATAAGTAAACTAAAGGAGAGATTTGTAGTTTTACAGAGCTTAGCTCAGACTCCCCATGAGTCAAGGCTCACAAAATATACACTATTTAGGACTCCTAGCTTAATCTCTTATGTTGGTCACAGGTTCTTCAAAGGGCGCCTGTACATCAGCACAAGGTACCGCCTTTACCGCCAGGTCCCAAAAGCGCACCGACACATGATGAGGGTGGCAGAGCTGGGAGTACACGGCTTGACCACAACACACAGAGCACTTTAGACTGGAAGTCCATCTGTTCCCCTCCTATTCAAACTTCACTCATTCGCTGACTTACCTTCTCACTGGTGTCGGTGCTGGTCTGTGACACAGGCAACAGCCTCCTGTCTTTGTTTTCTCAAACTTTCACACCGATTATAGGTCAGGCATCGCTATGAACAGTGGTTAAAGCGCAGTCAGGAGCCGGAAAAGCAAATTGCTCGCACCTCCCCACCGCGGTAAAACTTACCTGACCTGTCCGGCCAGCCTCACGATGCGTTCATGGCCTCTTTTCACATCTGAATCCTCACTCTCTAATTCCTACGCCACATTGTTGTGTTCCCTTGAGTAAAGGCGACTTTCAACAACCGTTTTTATAAGTAATATTTTTAATACATTTATTTTTATTCTTTTGCAAAAAAAACCTCTCACTTATTATAACTGTAAAAAATGTTGATTGGAAACGTAAGTGATATCGGTAGCTTAGCCCCTTATTTCTTGATAGATGTGAGCGCAGTTTACTCTATAGAAATGTACTTTTTAAATCACTCTTTGTATTTTGCATTGTTAACATGACAACTGAATGAATATATCTATATCTATGATAGATAGACGGATAGAATTCTTTTCAGCAACAAAGTCTAGGACTCAGTACTTGGCTCCAGTCCAGAGATTCAAGCATCCCTGTCTACAATCTCAGAGTAATATTATTCAGTGAAGTAGCTGTCAAAGTTCCTACAAACCATTCTTTTTTTTTTTTAGCATAAGATAGACAAAATAACCGTTATCACAGCAGTTATAACTGTCTCTGATACACCTTGCTACACATAAAAAAGAGCGTTTCACGCACCATGTGACTTTTCCTCAGCACAGAGCAGTAAAATAAACATTTTAATTCCAGTGACTCGTTTTTTGAATGGCCGATGTGATGATTAACAGGCAGAGTCAATCAATCTGCAGGAAAAAACATTTATCAAATATTGAAATCCAAAGGGACGCTGAAAAATGGCATCTACATCCATATAGCTATGTTGTAGGGATTTTAGGATTTAGGATTTTAGGGTAGTTTAAATGTCACTATTGACAATTTATGAGATTACATTTGATGGTTTTATACGTCTTTTACTTTGCACGTCTTCTCCCAGACACTTTGTGAGTCGATCCAATGTAAAAGTAAACCCAAAGAAGAGAGAACTTATGTTCGGATTCTATTCTTTTCTTCTACATTTAATTATTTTATTTTCTTTGCTATTTTGTTTATCCTTCTGTCTCACCCTCACCTGTTTCTCTCTCTCTTTGTGTGTGCATGTGTTAGAAATGAAGGATATTCCACCAGTGACCATTGCCAAGTTCTTTATAATGATCGGGTACATTACATTCAGTGTGTTTTTGGATCAAATGAAGTATTCCCCCGTGCTCAGAGGGAAACTGGATTTTATCGATACAAAGTGACAATAACTATATTATTTAAAAGTTTCAGAAAGGCCAGAAGAGCGATCAGAGGCTGACAGCTGACTATCAATGATGACAGCATAATGATTCAGTGCACTGGCATGAACATATGTGCACTTTCGTGGTCAAGACAATACATAATTAATACATAATTTTTTCTCTGTCTTGTATGTATAGAAATACGCTTCTAAATTAGATAACATAAACACGTCTATGCTAGACAGGTTACTGTGTATGTTAAATTGTACAGGTGGTGGGTGCCATGTGTCCCATCTCCCCCCGCTCTCTTCTCCCTTCCCCTCATTGCCAACTGGTAGTAGCTGATAGCTATCTGGAGGAAGAGCCTTTGCGGTCAGCGACGACCTGAAACATCACCAAATGCTATTTCGTCTTTTGAGAAGATTTTTTATTTTATTTTACTGTTCACAGTATTTGTTAAGTAGATTTGACCTGAATCCATCTGAGTGGCAAAACCACATCTTATCTTGTCTATTTCGGCTCATCTGAGTTCCCAGGACAACTAACGTTTATGCAAATGTACCAGGGTTATCCAATCATCATCATCATCATCATCGGAGGCACAGGCAGTTTAAATCGGGAATAACGTATGAGGGGCGGAGCTGCTTCTGCATGAATCCTACTACTGTTTGTCGTTAACTGTTATAACGACGCATATGCCTATTCTGACCAATCACGTGTTGACATTGTCTTCCGTATTTTAGGACTTGTCAAGTGGTGATTGGTGGAAAGCAGCATTGCGGTTCGGAAGTGAGTGCCGGTCATGACAGCAGAGACACAAAGATGGAGGTGGTTGGTACTATCCGCGGGCTCATCAGGTCGTTGCTCTTCTTGCTGCTGTGGTCCAGCTGTGAAGGACGAGACTCGGAGCTCAGCTATGTGACCTGCGGCTCTCTAGTCAAACTGTTTAACACCAGACACAACGTCCGACTGCACTCCCACGACGTTAAGTACGGCTCAGGTAAGTGTTCAGAGAGCTGCCGGTGTACAGCAGCTCTGAGGCGTCAGCATTGCGCTTACTGTGCTAGAAGAGCTTTGTAGAAGCAAAAAAATACCCGGAAATTCAACCCCAGCACAACTTCCGACTACCTTTCCCCACGCTGAAGTTAAGAAGAGGTTCGCTCCATGATTGCATGTCTTAGTTAGTCTTCGGGAGCGTGCTGCTTTTGTGCTATAAGCACAAGAATGAGAAACTGATATTCCCATCAGTGCAGTTTGGCATTATAGAGTTACCTGCTTTATAAGAGCATCCATTAAGTCAGTGAGTTTGGGGTCGTCCCCATCAAAGGGGGGGAGACTGACTTTCACATCTGCCATTTGGTAGAGAGGCTACAAGTAAGGTTTGCATACTGTAACAGTGACTCACTGAAACTATGAAACTCACTTCTTTTTCATATCGTACGATCCTAGCAGATGTTTCGGCCTCATCCCTGAAAGTTGCTGGTTTGAAAGCGAGGTAATGCTTGTTCCATGTGTAGCCAGCCTGGGACAAGTGCACATCCACTTTAGCCTCATGTGACATCAAACTTTCTCAGATAAGTCATTTTAGAAGTGAATACAGCTGAAATCATAGAACAGCCTAGACTTTAACTGATGTCAAGGCAGCTTGCACTGACGTCTCTTTTGGGTCTCACATTTAAATGACAAAATCAACACTTTGAATTCAGATGTAGATATTATGTCTGCTTCATTTGTTATGGAATGACAGTAGAACAGGCCTCACCCAGCTATCAAGCTACTTGTCAGTCAGTTGTCTGTTAATTTTTTGAACCATTGAAATCGGACATGTGTATAAAGATGACTGTGGATTTTGTAAAGCTGCTTAAATGAAATGTGGTGGTCTACATTTATATATGGACCAAACTGTCCCACCTGTAATAGTGAGAAAGACAGGGCACACCTGGACAGGTCACTAGTCTGCACAAAGGGCAGTGGAGAACATTCAAACTCCACACTGAATCTAACTGTAGTCAGAACATTATAAGTTTGACAGGCTGCATCACAGAATAGAATATTTATTGAGCTTAACATAAAGGGTAATTGGCTCCACATATTAAGCACACAGTTACAAATCTGGGCTTTATATTGGATGGTGATTGTAAAATGGACAGACAAATGGCTTAGTATCTTTCATTTTAGAAAAACGGGTAAAGGTAAAAACCTATTCTCTGCAGGCAGCAGAGACAGTAAAACATGCCCACCCCCTTCTTTATTGCGACTTTTAGTTAGGAGAAGTTGGAGATCATGCAGCATCATACAACAAAGTTGACATCCTGTCCACTGTTGCAAGCTGGCATTCCTGCAGGTCATGTACGGCTTGATTTTCGTAACCTGGCACATTGTGCCGTTACTGCTGCAGCTGGGTTGAAGACCATATCATTTTGTCGGTTTTCACCACCATTTTAATGACATATCAGTGCAGAAGCTCAAAGATGTACAGATAATACAGAAAGACATGTTGCAACAGTTTGAAAGGGTGAGACTTTGTGGAAAATACTTTGAAAACACGCACTGCAATGTCTTTGCTTCTAGTTTTCTTCTACTATATGAGTGCTGATGTGGTGGTATTGTCAGGTGGGAACATCTTGAGTCTCTAACCCATTCAAAACCTCAACTCACACCTTATGTCAAGTGACCTCAGTAGGTCACATGATAGGGTGGGCCAAGGTCTCACAGTGGTTTCAAGTGAAATCTCTGGGAAACGCAGCTAGCATCTCAAGCTTCAGTGATTTAGTAATGTAACATATTAGTTTTGTTTTTCTATGCTCTAATGATGATGTTGATATTTATATAACAAAGGAATGGCCCACACCTGCCCATGAAACAGTCTTTGAGTCAATTGTCCAATTACTTTTGGTCCCTTTTAAAATGAGGGTGGCACATGTCGAGGAGCTAAAACTCCTAAACAGTTCATCCAATTTGAATGTGGAACCCTCAAATGAAAGCTGAGAGTCTACAAATTATGTCAATTTTCATTTTATAACTATATCTGGAATATGATTCAGTAAAAAAACAAAACAAAACTGGTTTCTTGCAAGTGAGTTTGGGTAGAGCTGTAATGGCAGCTGCACTAGCTGCAGTCTTCCACGTGTATTTTTTTCCTGTGCTAGTGGTTGCTCTTTTCCTATCAGCATGTAAGGATGGACAAGAACAATTGTAGGTGTATGCTAGACTCATCTGTTCTGGAAAAACTGCAGCCTTGGCACATAAGCTCCCTACCATGCCAGTGGTACTTGACAGATAATTAAATAAATACACATTATTATAAATATTATATCAAAGAGTATCATAAGTATCAATTCTGGTGACATCCCTGATATATAACAATATAAAATATATACTTAAAGTCTGAACAGGGATGTCCACTTTTACACAAGATCTTCAACATGTGGATGTGACAGGATCTGATGTTGAATAATCTTGTGTACAGAGCGAGACTGATGGGGTAGTGAGCTATGTTGACCTTAAAGCCTTTCTTTCTATGTCAAAAAATTGGCCCTCTTTTTGCCCAGCTAAATCACCATAGCAACTTATTCACCATGGTAACCTGGTTGGGAGCAGGTTATGTGTTTTGGTTCAAAATTGTCTGCAAGAGATTCTTGAATGTTTAAGTGCATTAGACTGCTGTTCAACTTCACTGTCAGCTGTAAAGTACCAGCTGAGACTGCACTGTGTTGTCACCGGAATGTGCATGTGTTCAGCTGGTGATGCAGAATTAAGCTGCTTGTTCTCATTTATGATGGATGGATGGATGGATGGATGGTTCTCATTTATACTGCTTATTACAACTACTAGGACACAGGACAAAGAATGAATGAATCAATGAATCTAATTAATTTCACTGTGATCTTCAGACAAAAGTGAAGTGTTTTCTCCGTCTCCTATATTAGGCTGTGTGACAGTAACATTTTTACGCTATCAGTATTAATGTTAATAGTGATTTTTCTACTGCATTAAACTCTTGTCCTACTTGCAAAAGTATCACGTTTTGCTGTTATATTGTTTTGATGTTCTTGTTTGGATTTTTGTCGTTGTCATCTCTATCATCATTAGATCGTGTCTGATTGGAGTAGCCCACACTCAAAGGGATGATGCAGTCCTTTTCTCGTGAGTGCGCTCAGAACCTGAAGTAGAGAGCCTGACTTATCACAGAAACCCAATAACAAAAGGAAAAAAGGGTAAACACATGCTGTTGAATAGAGAGACAGAGATGAAT